ATACATGTGGCTTGAAATGTTTTCGTTGACTTCTCCTCCCTCAAGTTTAAGCAATTATCCTGATAAAATTATTTCATAGCTGAACACTGGTGGCTCGTGCATGTAATCCTAGCTACTCAGGAGGCTGAGATCTGAGGATTATGATTCGACACCAGCCCAGACAGGAAAGTCTATGAGACTCCAAATAATCAGCAAAAAGCTGGAAGTAGAGCTAGGGCTCAAATGGTAAAGTACCAGCCCTAGAGTCCAGGCCTGAGTTCAAGTTCCAGTGCCAGTATAAAGATAGATAGATAGATAGATAGATAGATAGATAGATAGATAGATAGATAGATAGATAGATAGATAGATAGATAGATAGATCTTGTTTCCTGAGGGAAAAAAGTAGACAATATCAATACAATATTCCTAAACATATCAATTATTTCTTGAAGCGACACCCAATATTAATGGTGGCAGCACCAACTACAGAAGCTACTTTGAAGTGATGAACGGGATATTCTGTAGATTTGTGGCCATCTTCTTTGAAGATCTTCGTAAATAAAATAATCTATTATTGACAGAATGTTGAAATGGCTCAGCAAGTGTCGCAGCGGAAGCGCACAGGCCAGGGTGTGGGGTTAGAAGTACAGTACAGCAGCTCAAAAGTAAACAAAAGACTTGAGGGACTCTTTGTCCTTAAGCAGAAAGAAAATCATAGAGACACAGAAATAGAGATTGTAGAACTACACCTGGTTTTCATGCTGACATGTCAGACTCAGTGCTTTGGGGCTCTTGGTGTCTTCAGCTCACAGCCCTTCTGGCACCACTCCCCCCACAGTCTTCCTCTGTTTGAATCAGCTAGGTTGGCATCCATTAGTTCCCCCACTGAAGAGTTAGCCTTTTCATTTCTCATGCATTAAAAAAAAAAACTCCCAAGGAAGTCTCCTATTGGTCCACCCAGGATCACATGTCCTTGCCAGAACCAATCACTGTGGCCTAGCTGCTTACTCTGATTGGGTAGCTCAGGTCTTCCTTCCGAGTCCAGACAAGCATGGGATTGGTCAGGACGGTTCCATGGGTGAAAGAGGAGAAGTTGCTGAAAGAGGAACAGCAACTTTCAGAAGGCAGGATGGAAATTACAGCTCACTCAGCCAAGTCTGGCTGTAAGTAATCTTCCTCAGAAAGAATGAGGTCAGTGGAAATATTCCACAGAGTCTAGCCAGGTGGGCTGCAGATAGCTCCTCCCACCCCTTTCTCCCTGAGTAAGCTCTACTCAAAGATAAACTAGGAAAAGAAGGGGGGCTGAAGGCGTAGCTCAGCAGTACAGCATGTGCCTGGCACACAGAAGGCCCTGATTTGATCTTTGGTAATGCCAGAAACAATACAACAAAAATCATCAGGTACATGCTGAGAGATTTGGGATGAGAGTTAATTATTCTCTCTCTTTTTTTTTTTTTTTTGGTCCTTTGATGTTATTGTTGCTGTTTTGTTTTCAAATGACCCTGAGGTTTCAACTCAAGATCTGGTCCTTGCTAGGCAAGTGCCACTTGACCCAAGCCTCCAACTCTTTAAACTTTACTTTATTTTCCAATAGTGTCTCAAGTTTGGATCCTCCTACTTATGCCTTCTGAATAACCTGGATTACAGGTATGATTTCCCCCATGCCTGGCCCATGTAATGGCTCGCTAAATGTGTACATTGTATTATGTTCCAGCCAGCGTTTCAGATACTACATTGGGCCAAGCTGATATCAGAAAGTCTGTAGGTTCTCACAAGTCCGAAATGTTTAAAGCACCTACCTGTCACCCTATCAAAACACACACACATAGAAAAACAAAACGAAACATGGTTTTGTCTGCCATCTACTGGTTGCTGGTGAGAAAGACGATCATCTTTATGTGTGTAAAAGACCTTATCCTTCCATTTTCTGTGTATGGGCATCACAAAGGCTCCTAGGCATTTTCTTCAACTTACTGAGGCATGCCCCCCAAGTTGCCTCCCAGCTGAGAACAAAAGCAAATTCTCCAGAGCTTTCAGGTCCTAGGCTGGTCCCTGTAACAGGTGTTTCAAAGCTTCTTTTGCTAAGGAAGCACTGGTTTCTGACTTGGACCTACAAATTAACTGAAAGCCAGAGAAAAGTATGGCATCCCAAATCGGAAGCTGGCATCTCACACCTGTAATCCTAGCTACTCAGGAGACTGAGATCTGAGGATCATGTTTCAAAGCCAGCCCAGACAGGAAAGTCCATGAGACTCTGACCTTCAATTAAATACCAAAAAAGCCCGAAGTGGAGCTGTGGCTCAAGTGACAGCGCATCAGTCTGAGTGAAAACTTCAAGAAATAGTACCCAGGTCCTGAGTTCAAGCCCCAGTACTAGCACTAATTAAATATGACATCAAGGTTAGCCTACCATTGGAATGTCTTGTCTCTAGGATCTCTAACAATGCTTCCTCTTTCGATTCTGATGCTGGTAATCTTTCTCCTCTGTTTTATCATTTAAGTACAAATTTTAGTTATTTTCCTGACTTTTGCAAAAACATTAAATATTTTAGACTGATTGTATCTCTTGACTGTATGTTTCCTTTTACTGGATTCTACTGCTATCTTTATTATTCCCATATTTCTCACTTGCTTCAAGTGTAATTTCTCTTCATTTTCCAGCTTCATCGGTGATGAAGAACATTTCATCATATCGACCTGGCATGTGTAGAACTATAAACTTCCTTATGAACTGTAAAAAATGAGTGGCAAGCGAGAGCAACCAATATGAACTTAAAGCTTTATTGGGGGGACAGACCTGCCAGGCTGCTTCAAGCAGAATGGAGGCAGCAGCCATGGACAGGTGTGGATTTAAACACAATTTCAGGGGACAGTCCCATAGGTCACTTGGGCAGTCCCATGGGGCACGTTGTGTAGACTATGGGAATTTGGGGGTGGGGTCAGTTCCGAGAAGAGGTGTTATGAAGGTGTTATGTGGACCACAGGAATTGGGAGGAGAGTCACATTCTGAGAAGGAGTATAGTGAGACTGTTGTAACTGGGGTGGGAATTTGTATGTCACTCCAGGAAAACAATACAACACTGGGGAAATAGAAACTGAACAGATTTTTGTAAACAGGTAGGGACACAAGTCAGCAAGCTGACTCTGAGACCTTAGATGAACACCAGTTTAGGCTCTGCAGTTTTTATTTGTTGTGCTTTCATGTTCATACAATCAATGATACTAATATATCATGGGATTTATTATATAATTTGTGGGTTAATATGCAGCAGATTGGATTAGTTTATAAAATTGGAACTATTCCCAGACAGCTTTGGTTAACAGTTTCTATTTTCATTCTGTTGTAATCAGGAAACGTATTCTGATTTACTTTAAAAAAAAAAAAAAGTTTCATGGTCCCATTTATTGAGTGTAGCTGGTTATAATGTTTTCACAAATGTCAATTAAATCAATTAAATAGCTGCACAGATCTTCTGCATCCATATTTCTTTCTGTCTACAGGCACTGCCAATTGTTGCGCTTTCCATATTTTCTCCTGAGTTTTGCCAAATTAAGATACTTTGTTGGGTTTCGTTGTTGTCGTTTCGGTTTGGTTTGGTTTTGGTGTCACCTGGGTTTGAAATCAGGGCCTTGAGCTTGCTCTCTGCCACTTAAGCTGCGACTCCAGCCTTTCACACTTTGTATTATCATCATCATCATCATTATTATTATTATGTTAACATGGGGTCTTGAGTTTTTGCTCAGGGCTTGCCTGACTTCTGTCCTACTTATATTCCCTTAGCTGGAATTACGGGCCTACAGTCACGCTTGGCTTAACGGTGGAGTTGGAGTTAGATGCCCGAAGTGTGATCCTCGTGGTAGTTTCCTGGGTGGGGATGTGCCTGGAAGTTTCGTGTGTCAATGTGCGCACATTTAGAACTGCCGCGTCTTCTGGACGGAAACGTCTTCTTGACTTTTAAGCCGTCGTCACGTAACCCACTTCCCTCTCCCTTACCTTGAAGTGGGTTTTCTCTGATCATGAATACAAGAACGGGGGCTTCTACTTGGCAGCACCATCGAGTCAGGCGAATCCTGTGAGGCCAGCGGGGTCTACAATGTGCTGTCACTGTCACGCTAGTGAAGTGGGGGCCCCGAGCCCTGGGGGTGAGGGGTCCTCTCCGGGGAGTCCGCTCAACTTCTCCAAACTTACCATCCAGGAGAGGCTGGCTGGCGGGACCGATGTCCCCGCCAGCCCAGGAGCGCTGGGGAATTGGGTGGAGGATGGAGTCCTAGGCCCAACCTAGGGGGCTTCTCCCGATAGGGGCAGGGGTGATGCCATTCATCCGGAAAGGGGGAAGCCAGCGGTGTCCACAGATGCAGACAGAACTTGAGATGAGAGGGAACGGGGAGGAAGGGAGGAGAGCATTCTTCCGAGGGAAAGGACGGTCTCGTTCCACCACTGAGCTTCTCTTTGTAGAGTGGATCCTGAGCAGCCCTTCGGCTAATGGCAGAAACCTACGAATAATTCCCAGTTCCGAGAAGCCCGCCTCTTACTGGAGGATCGGAGTCCTATAGGCTGACCAGTCTGCGCGCGGCACTCCGATTGGAAGCGGTGACTGCCCATCAAGCTTCCACCCCACGAATCCCAGCACTTCTCGGGGGTTGAGAGGGGGTCTCAGGTCCGAGGGAGCACACTTGCGGGTGCTACAGACCTATCGATTAAGGCTGCAAAATCCTCCTGTGCAAAGAACAGACTGAGACCTGTGGTTCTGACCAGGGAAACGTCAGTCAAGCGGTGGGCGGGTGCAAACAGCAGCCCAAGCACAGGTAAGGTACAAACTGGGCGGAGGGAGCGGCCGGATTCCTCCTGATTGGTCCAAAAAGGGGGTGGGCCCTCCCTCTCGACTCCGGGATTGGCTGAGCGCGGGCCACGCCCCCGCACGCCAGCAGCCCTCCGCGCGAAGCGGGTCGCGCTTGGTCCGCTTCACGTCTGCGGCGGGTTCGGCGGGAAGTGGCTGCTGACGAAAATCGTCGGGTACCGGGTCAGCTCCGACGCGGACCCAGCAGAGACACGGGGAGGGACGGGCCGCGGCGGGAGTCGGGCGCCCCCGCGAGCATAGACCGCTCCCTCGCCGCCGGAAGTGCTTGCGGCGTGCGGCGTCCCAGCCGGAAGTGTGGCAAATTCCCAGCAGGACCCGGAAGTGTGGAGCAGGTGCGGCTCCGGGAAGTGCCGGTGGCCGGCCGGTGGAGATTCGGGGTGGACACAGGTGTTTGTGTGTCTTCATCTGTGAGCCGCGGCGCGCCCGGAGCCCCCGCGTGTCCGGGGTGCGGGTTATTGCGAAGGTCCCACTGTCTGGGGAAAGCCTGCGCTGGGGACGCGTGTGATGGGGGGGGGGGGGTCCCCTGTAAAAGCGTCTAAGAAGTTTCTTTTGCTGCCCCTCGACCCCTGCAGGGATGTGCAGATGGAGGCCGGAGGAGACACTGCTGTCCCGGGCCCCGGGGGCGCCGAGGACGTGGAGGACACGCGGGGCCCCAGTGAGGAGGCCGGGAACGCTGCCGGGGATCACCCGGGCCCACCCGATCCTGGAGACCCGGCCCCGGGGGAGCCAGGTACAGCCCCCTCCTCACCTCCCACCCTCACACACACACAGACCGGGGTCCTAGGAGCAACCCCTGGGGGTTGTCACTGTTAGGCGAGGTGGGGAGTTCGTGGGAGACCCGTGAGGAGCCTCAGGGGCTGAAGGAAGGAGCTTGGACCGCAGCTGGGTAGACTCACTGAGAAACGAAAAGGGGAAGAGAAGAAAATCAGAGTGTTGTCGGTCGATGTTCCCTCCCCTACACAGTGCCATGGTCCTGCTTGGATCAGTGAATGAGTAAAAGAATGGGGACAGAGGAGGGACTATTCATTAATGAAGTGATAGGGAGAAATAGGAAGTTAAGTCATTGCATCGGGAAAAGGGATCCCCTGGAGGTCAGGGACCATTCATAGTTTACATCCTCGGAGATACTGGTGTGGGGGGGCAAGTGTTAGCGGGCATTTATGGTGATTGATAGGACAGGAGAATTAAAAGGATATTTGGAGAATCAGGTGATCAGTAGGGGAAGATTTGACCTGCTTAGTGGATACGTACCAGTTGTCATTGGGGAAGTTGATGGGAGTGATTGAGAATCCTTGCTCATTTATTATTTTGGAATCAGTGGATGTTGATGGGACCATTGGAAAGGATTAGTAGGCATCACTGAGAACAAATTGGAAGCCCTTTCAGGACTTAATTGACAGGTAAAGGCAATGACTGAGGGGAGGTAGTTGGGGTTTTTTGTTGTTGTTATTTGTTTTGTTTTGTTTTTGTAACAGGAGTTGTCCGTGAATAACATTGAGAGAATATGAGGTCATTGGGATTTCCTGGGCAAATTACAGCAACATAGCTTCTAACGGATAATAAGTGACAGCTCTTGATGAGGCAGTAAACATCAGTAGGAATAAATGGTAGTGTAAGGGGAAGAAGCGGTGGGAATCTTTGAAGCAGTGGGTTGTATGAAAGCTACTGACAGTCATGGAGAAGGGCAGTGGAGGTCATCATAGCCCTGTGTGTTAGTGGAAGTTCATGGTTGTCGTTAGTAGAAGAAAGGGTAGATAATGGTGTTAGCTAATTTGTAGATGGGGCAGTCAGTGAAAGTCATTCATATGGGTTTGGTTGGGATGTTATAATGTATCTGTGGAAGCAAATGGGGTTCAGTGACTGGGGATGGGGGGGACTCGGCGATCTGGGTGACATCAAGAGAACTAACATCACTGAAAATATATAAATGCTTGACTGCAAGAGTCAATGGGAGGAGACTCATTAGCGATCAGTGGACATCAGTGGGAATAAAGGGGTTAGGGAAATCAGAAGTTGGGGAAATGATATATAGAGAGATAGTCATAGTGGTCAGTGGTATAGATATCAGGAGATAGGGGATCAAGGGGACTATTGAAGGCAAAGGAATCCCAGTGCCCAGTGCTTCCGCAGTTCAATCAGAAGCAATGGAACGCTTTGAAGACTTGGGGGTAGCCATTGTTGCCAAGGGAATAATTAGATTGAGACACAGCAGTGAGTGACAGTGAGTGCCAGTGACAGCATATTGGGTCACTTGGCCACTGGACCCTTCAGTGTGAGTGGACATCATTTCCGAGGTCCCAGTCATCAATTGCTGGGAGTCACAGCCCACTGAGTGTCAAGGGAGATACCCCTCAGCAGGCTGAAGTTGGTGGGGGGCTGGAAACAATTGATGGATTCGGGGGAACATGGGGTCAGTGGGAATCCACCTGCAGATGACTTGCCTTTCAGAGTCCGAGGCCAAGGATGAGCTGTCCAACCTCCTGTCGCCACTGCCCATGTCGGAGGCCCCGGCAGACACCTTTGAGCCAGAAAGGACTGCAGCCTCCGACAGTGTTCCCATTCACGGCCCTGACATCGGCTCTGGAGGCCAGGGCGGGGACCCCAGTGACGAGGACTGGCGCTGCCAACGGAAGCATGTGTTTGTACTGAGCGAGGCTGGCAAGCCGATCTACTCACGCTACGGCAGCGTGGAGGCATTGTCAGCCACCATGGGGGTGATGACAGCCCTGGTGTCCTTTGTGCAGAGCGCCGGAGATGCCATCCGTGTCATCTATGCCGGTAAGTGAAGGGTAGGGGGTGTGACTGGGAATGTGTCTGGGAGGGCTGGGGATCTGTCTAACGAGCCGTGGCTAGATCTGCCTGCCTACCTGAGCCACTGTCCAGCCAACAGAGGTGAGCTGGAGTGAGTAGGCAGCCCGCCAGGGGTCTTCACTGAAGCGCCCCTCTCCCCGCCATAGGCCTTTCCTGATCTGTCTCTCCCCTGACCTGCTCCTTCCCTCTCCCAGAGGACCACAAGTTGGTGTTCCTACAGCAGGGCCCACTGCTGCTGGTGGCCGTGTCTCGGACTTCCCAGTCAGCAGCACAGCTGCGGGGGGAGCTGCTGGCTGTGCACGCACAGATTGTGAGCACATTGACACGAGCAAGTGTGGCTCGCATCTTCGCGCACAAGCAGAACTACGATCTCCGCCGCCTGCTGGCAGGCTCAGAGCGCACCCTGGACCGGCTTCTGGACAGTGTAGAGCGAGACCCAGGCGCCCTGCTCCTGGGTGCTGTGCGCTGTGTGCCCCTGGCCCGGCCACTGCGGGAAGCACTGGGCACACTGCTGCGGCGTTGCACAACACCGGGCCTGGCCCTGTCAGTGTTGGCAGTTGGTGGCCAGCTGATAACAGCAGCTCAGGAGCGCAATGTGCTGGCCGAGTGCCGGCTGGACCCCGCGGACCTTCAGTTGCTGCTTGACTGGGTGGGTGCCCCAGCCTTTGCTGCTGGTGAGGCCTGGGCACCAGTGTGCCTGCCCCGCTTCAACCCCGATGGTTTCTTCTATGCCTACGTGGCACGCCTGGATTCTATGCCAGTCTGCCTGCTTCTGCTTGGCACCCAGCGGGAAGCCTTCCATGCCATGGCTGCCTGCCGGCGAATGGTAGAAGACGGGATGCGTGCCCTCGGGGCCCTGCGAGCCCTTGGAGAGGCTGCCAGCAACCCCAGCACCCACTGGTTAGGTGCCTCGGCCTACAGCGTGCAGGCTGTGGGGGCGCCCGGCCTCCGGCACTTCCTCTACAAGCCACTGGACATCCCTGACCACCACCGCCAGCTGCCTCAGTTTACCAGGTGGGCCCTGTGCAGTTGGCCAGGTGGGGAGACATCCTCTAACTGGGAGGGCCAGCCTCGTAGGCATGTCTCATGGGAGACAGCTAGTTGTGTCCTGGGGTTGGGAACCCTTTTTCTTGCCAAGGACTGTCATGCGGATATTGATAATGTCAGTTATGGGCCATACAGGATGATCAGTACAGGCAGATAGCCTTGGTTAGCTGACAGGAAATAACAGAGCAGTCCTGTGTCTGCTCCGTCATGCACCAAATGATTTCTAGTGGTTTCCCCACCCTTACCCGAGGGAAAGAATAGTTCTCTGATAATGGAGGTTCGACCACCAATGGAAAGGAGTCCCAGTCTAGTGGCACAAAGGGCCTAGTACTTAGGGAACCCCTGTTTCACGGGGAAAGCTTGGCCTCCAGGCTGCTGAGAATCCTCAAGTCTAGTGGTGGAGGCTCAGCCCCTCTCCCCCGCTACTTAACTGAAAGCTCTAGATGGAGAAGAGATAAGCCAGCCAAGAAGGCCCCTAACTCACCTTGCCCTCTTCCTCCCTCCATCATGGCAGCCCTGAGCTGGAGGCTCCCTACAGCAAAGAGGAGGAGCGGCAGCGGCTGTCTGACCTGTACCACCGGCTGCATGCCCGCCTCCACAGCTCCTCCCGACCCCTGCGCCTCATTTACCACGTGGCCCAGAATGAGACACTGCTGGCCTGGGTGAGTTGAGTCGGAGCCTCACATGATGCATTCCCCACTAATACATCCTTTCACTAATGGCGTCATTCAGATTCCACCAACTGCTCCATGACCATGGTCATTTTACTGGTCCAGTGTCCAGTCCAGCATCATCAGCAAAAGCTTAGCCGACAACACCATCCTACTACTACGTACTTTCCACAACCTAAGACCTTGCTGCTCTGTGCAGCTTCTATATTCATGTTGCTTTTTCCCCTTCGGTAGGCAGAAACCTTTTAGCAAACATCCCTTGAATTTTCCCATTCAAGTCCAGGAATTTTCCCATTCAAGTCCATGACTGAGTCACCCAGCACTTTTTGACTACTATGGATTGTGTCTCATGTTGTGTGCTCTATCTGGAGTTTCCTTTCTGAGTTCCTGCCTCCCTCTCTTGTGGCTCTGTTCAAGAGTAGTTCCCAAGGAAGCCCAGTCAAGGTGACCCCATGGGAAACGAAGTCTCTGGTAGTTTATTAAGTAACTCATTGTACATTTGTGGGGGGGCGCGGGGGGGGGCCTTGTTTTAGGCTGGGGATTTTATTTTGATTTTTAAAACTTTCACTTCAAGTAATTTTCCACTTAAGAAGTTGCCGATCTAGTTTTCAAAAATTAACACGAAGAGGCCCTTTCACTTCATTTCTCCAAAAGTCAACATCTTACAAAATCACAGTAACTTACCCAACCAGGAAGTTCCCATGGCTGCAGTTCACTGTCAATCTACACACTTGGTTTACATTCCACAACTGACCATTTGTATCATTTTAATGGTCCAGAATGTGATCCTGGGATCACATACGGGGATTTACTTATGGTGCCTCCCTTGTCTCATTTATTCTGGAACAGTTCCCAGTCTTTTTGTCTCATGGCATTGGAACTGATGAAAGTCAGTTTGTAGAGTGCCCCTCAGTGGTGTTTTTCTCATAGTATGTCATGATCTTATTGAGATCTCCCTTTGGGCAGAAATCACCCCAAAGTGATGTGTACCTTTCTGTACATCTTGTTGAGAGCATATGATGTCAGTATGTCCTGTGGATGATATATTATGTCAGTGTGTCCTGTGGATGATGTCAGGCCTGGCCACTTTGTCAAGGTGGTGTGCTTCACATTTCTCCACTGCCAAGTTAGTATTTTCCTCCTTGTAATTAGTACATGCTTGTCAGTTATGATTACTATACCAATGTCATGTCTTTCATCATTCTTTTCACTCACTCGTAATAGTCATTACTTACTTGGACTTGAAACGGTTAATAGTCTGTTTCCCCAATGTTGCTTTCTAACTCCACCCTCCTTTCTAATTTTATACTTTGAGATTCTAAGAAGGAAGAATTTTCCTTCTTCTGTTTATTTGTTAAGATTTTCATACTATATAAATGTGGTTTCATGGATTTGTGCTTAATTTAGCGGGCTAGAATATCTTTTCTAACATGTATTTTGGTGCTGAATTTGTCTCTGATTTAGCTAGTGGGAGTCCTGCATTAGCCAAAATGGGACCTGTGTCTCTCTTAATGCATTCCTGTTAGCTTACATGCAGTCCTAGACTCTGCCATTTTTCCAAGAAATCTTCATGCTTTTTAGTAGAGAATAACATTCAGAGAGCAAAATATTAAATCAGGTGGTCAGGAGAGACCTCCGTAATGGGCGGGCCTCCAAGTGGAGAAAAGAGGTAGCGGGCCACATGGTTATCTGCAGGAAGAGGACACCTAGCAAAGGGAAAGGACTCTGCCAATGCTGCCAGGATTGCCAAGGCCCCCTGTGCTTGAGGGACAGCATGGTGAGGATGAGCTGCAGCAGGAGAGAAGGGCGGCAGGTGAATAAGGGCAGGGGAAAAGTACTGCTGACCCATGGAATCGGGTCTTCCAAGTTGTTGTGAAGATAGAACTTGTGTTCCTCTTAGATTACTCCTTGGCTATAAATAATGAAAACTGAGATGTGTAGAGCAGGAATTGCTCACTCACTGTGCAGCTCTATGACTTTTATCCCTTTCTCACAGATAAGCAAACCAAGGGCTCTCAACAGTAACATATAGCACCTGGCTTACTCTGTTTTTTAAATTTGTTTTCTTTTTTCCAGTCCTGGGGCTTGAACTCAGGGCCTGGGCTCTGTCCCCGAGCCTCTCTGTGCTCAAAGCTAGTGTTCTACCACTTGAAACACAGCACCACTTCTAGCCTTTTCTGTGTATGTGGTACTGAAGAATCAAACCCAGGGCTTCATGCATGCTAGGCAAGCATGCTACCACTAAGCCACATTCCCAGCCCCCTGGCTTACTCTTGCCACAATATTACCCACTAACCTGCCTTAGTTGAGAGTCCATTCAGCCCCAGGTCGGAGTTGATGCCATCTTCATCTCCCAAGCTTCAGGATGCAAACCTAGGACTGGGTTTCAGGGGACAGGACTGTCCATGGCTCACTCTAGCCCATCTGATTCTGTCTCCTCCCAATCCCTCCAGGTGACTTCCAAATTCGAGCTTTATACATGCCTCAGCCCCTTGGTGACCAAGGCAGGTGCCATCTTGGTTGTGACTAAACTGCTGCGCTGGGTGAGGAAAGAGGAGGACAGGCTCTTCATTCGTTACCCACCCAAATACTCCACACCTCCAGCCCCGTCTGCAGACCAAGCTCCCCACAATGGCTTCTTCACGGGACTCTAAATGATGGAGCTCCCAGACTGTTGGGAGCGACCATTTTTGTCTGTTACCTTCTGTCCCCACCCTGGAAACCTGGATGGGGATCCATCTGTGACTAGTCCCTATCTCCATGGACAGTTGGGGACAAATTGAGGATGTTCCCACACCTGGGAGATGGGCAGCAGCAGCCAGGGGCAAAGGCTGCCTGCCTTCTTTCACCCTTCATGTATCTGCACCTCTGGGAAAGCCTTCAGTCCTTTTCCCCTCCCTCTCCTGGACCTGCTGGACTTGGATGTTACTCTAGCCTGCCAAGGGCTTCCCCTCCAACATGCTTCAGAAGTCTGGGACTCCGAGGGTGATCCACAGAGGTTCTAGAAGGGGGAGAACAGAGGCCTGAGAGTATTTTAAAGAGAAAATGACACAAAAGGCCTAAACTCCAAGCCCCATTAAGTTATTCCTTGCCCTCCCTGTAATTCAGTTCATTTTTTGCCCTTCCACAAAAACTGGGCCCCATCATCTTGAGGAGGAGGCTGGCTGTCAACTAGGACACAGAGCACATGGCTTCTCCCTACAGTGGCTGAGATCTGGACTCTACAAAGTAGAGAGGTGTACGTAGCTTGTAAAGCCCTTCTTCCCCGTGAAACCGAAGTGACTTTTTCTTCTAGGCTCCTTAAAGAAGATTTATAAACAGAAAGGGTTGAAACTCTCAAGTACCACATGGTTCATTCACATTGTCCCCAACTTAGCCTACAACAAAATAAGCAGTCTAAAGAGGGTGAGGCCTTCCTAGACTGGTGTGTGTGTGCCTAACTCTCACTCCCCCACCGCTCCATACCCTACCACTGCCCTTGTTCATACGGTCGAGGGCGCGTGCGCGTACGCATGTGTAAGGTCAGCCGGGGCGTGGGATGTTCTGCGCCTGCTCAGAGCAGAGCATCCGGTTTCCTGGACGCTGGTATTTCTGGATTACGTAAGCCTAGCACGCATGCGCGCTGCCTCCCACTGTCACGTCACGTGCCCCACCTGCGCTCCTGCGCAAGCCCCCTGCTGGAAAACGGCGGGGAAGCCGGAGCCTTCGGAGGAGAAGTGGCGGGAATCCCCGGAGGAGGCGTCCACGGAGGAGGCGGCGGCCGCAGGTACCGGGGGACAGCGGGCTGCGCCCCTCTCCCGGCAGAGGGGAGGGAGGGCGTTGTTGTTGTTTTTTTAAATAAGGTTTTAAGCGTTTTAATATCAACACTTTTAACCGTTCCACGAGGTGGAAATAAATGAGAAGCACCTTGTGATGTGGCCCGGACGGACTCGAGGGAGGGCTCCCCGGATCCACGGCCTACGCCGGTCCCTCCGCGTGCCTCGCTTTCAGCCGGGGAGGACGGGGTGCGCGCGCGCGCACACACACACACACACGGTGCGCGCGCACACACACACACACACACACATACACACCCCGCGGCCCAGCCCCCAGCCTGGACCCCGCTTCACTCAGCATCTCCGTGGAGAATGGCCGCGCCTCCAGGTGTCTGTGACTTGTTTGCCCTGAGCGGGGCCGAGGAGGGGCGTCCGGCCTAAAATCCAGCCGAAAGATCTCCCAGCGCAGGGCCCGCTGGGCGCCGCGCTAGCCTACGGTTTTCTTCTCTCTTTCCACTCTAGAAAGCTTCACAGTGTACCGAAGTAGAGGGAAAGTAGCGTGAACACCCAGCACGCTTCACTCTGCTTCAACAGAGGACCTTGTCTGCCTCTTTGTCTCCCCCGTCCCACACGTTCTTTAAACCACTATATTCACAAACACGGAAGCTTGCATCTGGTAAGACCTATCCATGCAAAAAATCAAAATAATGATGGGCTGTTTGTGTAATTTCCAGTCCTTGGATGTGAGCTCTATTAGAACAGAGACTTGATCACTATTTCCTCAACCAAGGCCTGATGAGTATATAGACGATGCTCAGGAATTTCTTAATGTGTAACTAATGCAGCCACTTTAATCCAGAGTTTGTCTTAGGTTAGAGCCACAGGTGACAGACTGTCAAAAAAAAAATGATACAGATGAAATACAAAGAGATTCCATTAAATGGGTCTCCAAGAATGTTAAAACAAATTTTGATGATGACCTTGAGGATTCCTCACAGCCAAAGTTAGGATTACTTTCCTCAGCAATAGAGAAAATATATATATATATATATATATATATATATATATATATATATATATCAAATTACCAATACTAATCCATCAGATTGGTGTTGTATAAAGGGAGGGATATTACCAGCTCTGATGACTGGTGAAGCAGGTTGTCCCTTGCCTCACTGAGACTGGACCAGCGAAGGATTCACTAGGGGCAGGCTGACAGGGTATTTTGGTATCTGAAGTGCCGCTCCACACCTGCAGCCACCATGCTAGGTCATCAAGAGAGTTCACAAATGTGAGGACCAGGTGTGGTCAGTGGCGTGTCAAGGAAGACTAAACACAAGGAGGAACCAAGAGAAATGGCCAAGTTTCAGGACCCCCGTGCCTGCAGCAGAAGGCCTGTGAGCTAGACTGGTGTGCTAGTCATAAAAAAATAATTGTAAGTGGATAAGATCATTTTCCCAGGCACAGAATGAGAACTCATATTTTTATTAGTGAAAGCCTAGCTGAGATTGAAAAAAAGGAAGAAAAGGGATTACTCAGTACAGCCTTAGAGTGTTACACAGTATAAAGTGTCTGAATGATCAAGGCCTAACAACTATGGACGGTGGACAGGGATGGGGGAGGAAGGGAGCAGGACTGAAGGCATTTTTTGTGTGTGATATATCATTTTATTTTTCCTTAAGGAAAATATGGGTAGTGCTATCTATGTTACTTTAAACTCTAAGGGGAAAAGAGGGCAATTTTTTGTCATCTGAGGATTACAGGTTAATAGCAAGTGATATTAAAAATCTGATTTTGTTGTTTGTCTGGCTCTTGCTTGGTAGATTTCCCTCTGTAATAGGAAATGCACACTAGTAAATTAAATAATTATTAGTGAATCACAATGTCTGAAACTTGGGGGTTAGGGACAGATGGAGTATCTGTCCCAAATGGGAGCAATGTAGCCTATTTCTACAACTTTTGTGTACATCTGAAGTTATTTCAAAATAAAATGTTTAAAAGGGGGCTTGTACTCCACAAGTGGTTGTGTAATATGGAATTTTTTAAAATTTGTATCACGATAGTAGGTTTTTTAAAGGTGTACTCATTCACCCATGGCCTTCTCATGATTAGTCCAGAAGGGGGAAAAAGCAGTAGAGAGGAAAAACACAGAAGGAGCTCTTTCAGAAATAGTTTGAAAAGCTAGCTGCAAAAGACAGGTAGGGGCAATTAGGGAAATTCTGTCTGATGATCATTAACCTTTCTCTAACAGTAAATGACAGGAAACAAATGTTCACCAGCAGGAGACTGCTTTGAAATGATTGTATATATGTGCAATGGAACCTTGTGTCACTGGTAAAATGAACAATTGAAAATGTCACCGGTGTACGTGGTCAAGTGCAAAATACAAGATTGTATAACACAGTACTATTAGAAGGAAAACAGCTGAGGAACTTGGGGTAGAGGGAGGTTTTCCCAGTCCACAAGTGCAGAAGCACTTCTGCAGTCAGTTTGGCAACTGTATGCATTTGTACTCTGCCCAATTTTCACTGAAGTGGAGTGGCTCGTTGGCATTGGACCTTTCATAACTAACTTTAATGGTTTAAGATTTTCCTGTGTTTTGTAGTTTGAATTTTAGAAGTAACACGGGCTTATGTTGTATATTTAGTTTAAAAAATGCACATTGTTCTCAATCAGAATTTAAAGAAGACCTATACACAGTAATTATTTGAGGTAGACATGAAGCCCTTTTTAATATAAGGGTCTCCCTCTCCCCCATTTTCTCCTTTGCAGTTTCTTTGTTGAAGAAACCAGGCTGTGCTGAGCATTTCCAGGGACATAATTTGACATGTTCATCAGCCCTTTGGAACCTGCCTAGCATAGTTCTATTTTTGTGTTTGTGTTTGTGTGGAAAAGACACCTCTCATAAGAAGTGTCAAGATTCTTCCATCAAAAGGTTTGTAACATCCAGTTGTCCTTTTTCTTTTTTCTTTTTTTCTTTCTTTTTCTGGTCCTGGGACTTGAACTCTGGGCCTGGGCGCTGTCCCTGAGCTCCTTTTGCTCAAGGCTAGCACTCTACTACTTGAGCCACAATACCATGTCTGGCATTTTCTGTGACTAATTGGAGATAAGAGTCTCATGGACTTTCTGGGCTTCAGATATCAGTTTCCTTAATAGCTAGAATTATAGGCATGAGCCACTGGTATCTGGCCCTTTTTCATGTTTTAATGTTAGTAGCTGTGAATATTCGATGTGAAGTCTTTCTGCCCTATTGCATTGGTAAGAGCTTCATATTGACCTTCAGCAATGACAGCAGCAATAATGCATCCTCTCCCCGCACCTCTGAGTTTTATGAAGGAAATTCTGGGAGTGTTGCCTTTTGACCCCTCCTGAATGATTAGGAGCCTGATTCATCAGTCACACCATGAACTTCAGAGAACAAAAGAAGGTTCTTAAAGGCTCTTGCTCTGGCTGGAAACCAAAATCTTTACTTGGCTTGAACTCTGGCTTAGAGGTGTGCACTGAGATCATAGGGACTTCCTGCCATTCCAGTGGCCCTGGGTCTTTTCTTCGGTCCCTTCTCATTCCCAATGAGTCCTATAATCTGGGTTTTCCTCTCCACAGGGCAGGCCAAGTCTTCGAAGATGAATGAAGACTTGCTGGCCACGGTGAAAAAGCTGCAGAAAGGTCCTGTGTCTTGTGTCTGTGCCTTGCCCTGGTGTATTAGGTCCAATGGCTCAAAACCCAGCCTCCTCAACCCATATCTGGGGGGCGGGAGGGGGGGTGACGTGGGGAAATGATCCCATTTCCTTTACTCCCTCATAATCCCATCCTGTAAGCCCAAACACAGACAGCCCATGGTTCCTGATGTTTAAGAGGATGGAAAAGCATGCCCTGACTTCTTATGTACACACACACACACACACACACACACCACAACCACCACACACACACACACACACCACAACCACCACCACCACACACCATATCATCCATTTTCCTGACTTGCTGTTTTTAAATTCTTAACTTTTTAGATTTTTTTTTTTTGGTTTGTGTTGTTTAAGAATACATTCATGGGCTGGGAAGGTGGCTCAGTGGTAGAGTGCTTGCCTTGCATGCATGAGGCCCTGGTTCGATTCCTCAGCCCCACATAAGCAGAAAATGCTGGAAGTGGCGCTGTGATTCAAGTGGTAGAGCGCTAGCCTTGAGCTGAAATGCTGAGGGACAGCGCTCAGGCCCAGAGTTCAGGCCCACGACATACCAAAAAAAAAAGGAATACATTCATGGATGTAGATTCTTTCTTCCTATGGCAAAGGGCAATGCAGATGGCTTTGACCTTGGGGTGCCCTTGGCTTTGCTGGGGAGCTGGCTGGCTTCCAGGCTGGAGCAGAGTGCAGCTGGTGCTGGAGGTTGGTTAGAGCTTAGCTTCCTCAGCTTCACCTGCTGTCATCCATGGCTCCAAGCAAAAGGGAACCTCCCCCTCCACGCTCCCCCCCCCACTCGCACTGTGGCTGCACGTGGGATGGTTGCCTGCACTAAAGTTCACAAAGAGATTGCTGGAAGCAAATCTTAGAAACCCACCCTGACCATCAGCAGTTAAACAAAAGACCTGGGATTTTTTTTTTTTTAATCAGTCATGATCGGTACCATGGACAGAGCTCTGTCTTTAGAAGTATGCAGAGTTGATGACCTGGGAAAAAGCAGGATGGGAGCTGATTAACTCCAGAATGTTTTAGGGGTTGACAGTGAGACCCAGCAGGGGTAGGGTGGCTTTAAGCCCCACCTCTGTCACCAACCTGGAGAGGGACGAGGAGAAAGGCTTCTCCCTACAGTGACAACTCTGTCGCTGGGGAATATACAAGGTGCCTCCGGCCACATAAAGCAGAGTTTCCTTCGGTTCAAGCGGATTCCACATTGCCCGGATGACAGTTGTTCTGCCCAACTCTGACTGCCTGGGGGCAGATGGGAGGTCACTGCTGTGATCACACCCCGCACTGATCTGTGAGCTTCCCACTCTGGCCCAAGAAGCTGCCCAGACTGGCCTCCAACCACGCCAGCCCCTCGCCTCGCGTCTTAGGAGGTGCCCATTACCTTCCTGCTTTTTACACCCATCTCCCCTTCGCAGCAGGCACTGCCACCCAGATTGACCTCCATCTCTTCATTGGACATCCATCTCCCCACCCAGAATACAACTCCTGTCCGGGCCTCTCCCAGGCCCCAAGCCACAGCTCAATAAATACCAAGTGGTTGACAGTGACAGAGCCCCAGTACCAGCATACAGCCCTCCTCCCTCTGCCTGGGCCACAGGGCCTCTGCCAGGCTCAATCTGTTTTTCTTCTCTCCAGAGGGAAGCCTGGAGCCTCAGATCAAGGACCTGATTAACCGTATTAATGAGCTACAGCAAGGTAAACTTGGGGACTCCCCCCACCCCGCTCCACCCTGCAGACTGGCCAACAGGAAGGCCCTGGACTTTGAATGCCTCCAACTCCTCATCTCTAAAATCCAAGAGCCCTACCCCTACCCAGGCTGCTAGAAGATGAACACACAGTGTCAGCCTTCCCCAGAGAGCAGTGAGGCCGGAGCTCTGCTAACTCTGTCTTCTTCCCTTTGGCTCAGCAAAGCAGACATCCAACAAGGAACTAGGAGAGGGCCAAACTCTCCAGGAGATCCTGCTTCAACAGCTAGACTCCTGTAAGTGAGATCAGAAGAGGCAGGGACTCTTCTGACCACAGCTGACCGGGCTGTAGGGCCACGCCCTCTCCCTGCAATGCTCCGAACCCACACAATCCAGACTGCCTCTTGATGTGGGACATCATCTCAGCCTTCAGTGCAATCTGGACAAGGCTGCTTTGATGGTCCCACTCTCTTTCTGTCCCTCTCACTCTCCTGCTTGCTTTTGGATTTTCTTCCAAACCTCTATTTTTTTCTTTATTTCCTCTAATGGGACACTTATTTCTTTTTAGACATCCTGTGATGGGTGCATCTAGCATCTAGGGCTGTCCACAGCCACAGAACTGATTTTTTTTTTCTCCCTGACTTTTTGGAAAGCTGAGGAGTATATGGAACTCAGGATTCAAATGACAAAATAGAACACTCAGAATTTGGGGGCTTTAAGACAAATTCATCTTTGTTGGGATGTCTGTCCTTGTGTTAATGAGTAGAGCGCTCAGAATTGGGGGACATTAATATTCTACTTTGTCATTTGTATCTTGAACTCAATACATTCCTCAGCTTTCCAGGAAATCAGGGGGGAAAAAACCAGTTCTGTGGCTGTGGCCAGTGAAAGAAGGGACAGCCCTCGATGCTAGGATGAACACAGGAGCTGCTCTTGACAGAAGCTGTGCATTTATCTTTGTTGGGATGTCTGTCTTTGTGTTGGTCGTCTCCTCCACATAATATTTGTATATTCTTCAGGGCATTGACTCCTGGCAGGGAAGGGTAGAGGGAAGGGGAGGAGGGGTCAGGATGGCCCCCATGGGAGGTGAGGCAAGGCTAGCATGAAGTCTCTTCACCTGGGCTGAACAGAGCATTCTGTGTGGACTTGGACCCCTTCCATCAAGTCCCTGGGGGCTGAATGTGCCACTGTGTTTTCCAGTGAATGGAGAGGAAGCACACCTGGAGGAGGTCTTGAGAAAGAAACAAGGTATTTGCCACTTCCTGTATCCTACCCTGCACTTCACACGGGAACCCACTCTTCCTGAGCAGCCACAGGAGAAGCCCTGAAACCTGAGCTCCTGTCTGTGTGTGTGTGTGTGGGGGGGGGGGGGGTGTCTTACCTCTCCTTAGATGTCTCCTTCAGCTGCTTGTTCATTTCCAGGAGACACCCAGACTCCCAGGGCATTCCACTACCCATTGCAATGTGGGGCTCCTTTCTTTGCTCACCCCCTGTCTCATCAAGAGCTCCTCACGGCACCTCCTTGATTTCCTTCTCTCCACAGAGGCACTGAAGATCCTGCAAGATCACTGGCACAAAAAGAAAAGCAAGGCTCAGTGGTAAGAGGCCCTGCCCAGGTTCTCTCACCTCCCCCTCCAGCAGAGGGGAAAGCATCTCAGTAGGACACATACTCCTCATCTCCTTCTCCAGAAAGTAGAGAGGGAAATTCCTTCTGGCCAGGCACTTGTCCAGTTGCCTCTGATTTTAGGTGGTGGTAAGATTCACTCAAGAGCATAGTCACTCATTATTATGTCATCTTTCCCCACTGATCATCAGCTTCTCTGTGCCCTCCATCTATCCCTCTAGTTTAGGTTCAGTCATTCACTACCTTTCCCATTCATCCATTCACCTACCCCTATATCTGCTCAACTATGCGACTAAGTCACCAGCCAAGTTAGCCATGTCTTCAACTTTGCATCTATCTAACCGTGCATTCATCTTTTCTCCTTCTTTCTTCTTTTTTCTCTTAGTAAGCCATTCTTTCTTTTTTCCCTAACCATCCATCCAGAAATGTGACCATCCTTCTAAAAGTCCTTCCATTGTTTTTCCATCCAACCATCCTCTCTACTCAGCCATCATTCCTCTAGCCAATCACTCATGCAATCAACTGTTCTTTTCACTGTCTGTCCACCCTTCTCTTCATCCTTTGAGCCTTTGCTTAGCACGTTTCTAGGGCCAGAGGCTGATGTTCTCATGCTGCCTGACTTTGTGTGGAGAACTTTGATGAGAGGTAGTGACTGTGTGTACATGATTAACCATGCATGCTCTGATGGATGTTTGTGTTCATGTATTTACTTGCTCTCACAATGACCCTCATAGGAGTTAATGTCACCGTCCCGTCGCTATACCATTTTATGTACGAGGAAACTGAGAACCATGGGTGGATTATATCTAGCCTTCAGATCATGGCTGTAGAATCCATGATGAAAAGAAAAACCACACCTCTTAGGAAGTTTTCTTGGGAAGGCATGAAATGGATAGAGTAGACAACTTGACAGGTTCACACTCACCTGAAGAAAGGTGATGGATGAAGATTGTGAGCAGAGCGCCAACCCCCACTCCCACTGGAGACCTGGGGCGCATCAGGGTGTGCCTGAGGGTGGTCTTTCCCTCCCCAGGAAGCACTTGGTGCAGAACAATGCAGAGCACCTCCCTGACCAGAACGCTCAGATGGCAGAGACCCATAGAGAGGATGCTGGGACACCCCCCAAGCCTGGGTGTGGTGGGCCTTGGGGGGGAGCGTGGGAGTGGGCTGCACAGCTTGTGGGAAGGAGGGGGCACGAATGAGGAACCCCAGATCCAGAGGCTCTGGGCGGCTGGGTATCGGCTCTAAACTGTGATGTCTTGTTCTTGGATGTGGGCCCCAGGTTGGATATGGGAGAGCAGCTGGAGGATCTGATGTACCAGCACAAGGACCTCTGGGAGTTACAGGTGAGCCCGGCTTCTACGTGCCCGCTGCTCAGGCTCAGCACTGTGGGGAGCCGGGGCTCCTTTCTTCCTGCCACCTTTGGTTTTGAATCAGGGCACCCCGCCTCCCCCAGCTTGCTGAAGATGGAGCTGTGGGAAAGCCTTGCTCCAACTGTAGCATTTGCAGCGGGCAGGGCTGTAGCAGGGAGAGGCAACAGTGACCCTCAGGGCAGGGCACAGCCCTTACACACACACACACACACACACACACACACACACACACGGGGAGGCAAACCCAGACGCTAACCGAGAATCCGTGGGGCAGGCCAGGAGCGGGTGACACGTGACTAGAGGGGCGAGGGGCGAAGCTGTGCCTTGTGGGTGCGGTGTGTGGCTTCGGCATTTCCCCAGAAGCTGCCCGAGCGTAACTGGGAGTATTGGATGAGGACAGTGGGAAGAGGTGAATTCTGAGCTGTTCACAGGGCCTCCTTCTGCAGCGGAAGCCGTGCATGCGTTCATAGTTGAATGAATGAGCTGATGTAGTGCAAATTGCCCGAAGCGCAAAGGGGGAGGGCGGTCGGTGTAGCCAGCCAAACGGACAGATGGACAGGCCAGGGGCCTCTGACCTCACAGATGCTGGAACAGCGGCTGACCCAGGAGATTCAGGCCCTGGAGAGAAGCCTGGAGCACCTGCTGGCTGAGAGTGAGGCGGGCGCGGGGCGTGGTATGGGCGTGGCCCGCGCTCCAGGGGGCGGATGGGCGTGTTCATCTCGAGAGAGCGGGGTTGGACGTTTTCAGAGCTTGGGGGCGTGGTCTGAGCTCTAGGGGGCGGGGGCGTGGCCAGCTCGCGGGCGGGCAGCGTTGGGCGTTGTCAAGGCTCTGGGGGCGTGCCTGGAGCTCGGGTTGGGCGTGGCCTCGCTGACACCCCGCCCCCGCAGGGCAGCAGCTCGGCGCGCGGCTGTTGGAGGTGGAGCGCTCGCCGGGGGAGTCGCTGGGCGCTTGCGCGGAGGACAGGTGAGGTTAGGGCCGCGTCCTGTGCGGCGTTCCCAGGCCTCTGTGGCTTGCTCTGTGCCCCCCGCCGACCCCCGCTGTCTTCCCTCTGCGCCTCTCCACAGGCTGCAAGCGGAGCCCGTGTCCGCAGAGGAGAGGTAGGCGCTCAGGGGACGCCGAGGCGCGCGGGGTCCCCGGAGGGGGCCCTGGGGAGCAGGGGTCGGACACCGGGCCCGGCCCGCAGCCTGACCCCGCTGCCCGCAGGCCGGCCGTCGGCGCCCCCGCGCCCGCCTCGAGGAGCGGCTGGAGCCGCAGGTGGAGCTGGCCCTGAGCGCGGCCCGGACCCGCCCGCCCGCCCCGGAAATAAAGACCGCGATTCCCAGGCCCCGAGTCCGTGCTCCCGGCGCCGCTGGGGGTGGGAGCCAGGGCGGGGAGCCGGCGCCGCCTCGCCGCGGGGCCCCCCGCGATTTGCTCCCCGGCGCTCAGCCCCACCGTGGGGCCGGCCCGCGCAGTGCCCTCCTCCTACACTGGTGGGCACCCCAGCCCGGGCCCTCTCAGGCTATGCGGGTGTCCACCTTCCGGGCCGCCAGGGCGTTCCGCTCCACCCCTGTGCTGTTACGTTGGAATGAATGGGCTAGAAAGAAAGCAGCGTGACCAACAGGAGAGTCGTGGGCGGGGGGGGGGGGGGGGGGGTCTGGGGGGCAGGGTGGAGCCGCGCGGGGCCTCCTTTGAATCAGGGCTTACATAGCGCTTGGCACAGCCCGTGTTGGCCTTGGCCATCCTGAACGAACCAGGGAATAAAGTATACTCAAGACCTCCAACTCCTTCCCCTTCTCCAGCCCACATCACACTGAGAAAGCATTCCAAGCTGCCCTCCCCAGCCCCCCTTCATTTCCTTTACTAAATATAGGATTGTTTTTAATGAAAAGCAAAATATTCAAGGCTGGGGAGCTTTATAAAGAAGAAAGGTTTATTTCGGGTCCTGGCTCTAGGTGTACAGGTGTCAGAGGCCACAGGTGGTGGCAGCTGCTTGGCTGTGTCACCACAGGATTCACATGGCAACTTAATCTTGGGGTCTCCACTCAGAGGCCCACCTCTTCACAATGTGGTCAGATTAAGTTGCCGCCTCCAGGTGGGTATTCAGTTTCAAAGCATGGAAACTTGGGAGATGTGTAGCACCATAGCAGTGAGTTAAGATCAAAATCCATTTTGTTCTTCCAAGTCAGATAGCATTTGTTGAGTGTTTACCCTAGCCTTGGCCTCTGGAAAGTCATTGAGAAAGTAGCAGAAACTGTCATGTCAGCTTCTGCCATCAGAGCTTAGGCAAGTCACACTGCCCTGTGAAAAGACCAGCTCAGTAAATAGTAGCAGACACACAATGTGCCAGTGGGAACTACCAGGCCTGAACTGAGGCCATTAGTGTTTTTCTTGGATTCAGTTCCAGTTCTCTGTGTGACCCTCTTGGGAAAATAAAAAATCTCCTACCAACCCAAGAAACTTCCCTATGAAAAGTAGAAGACAAAGAAGAAATTCAAACACAGAAGATGAAATTAGAATGGCCAATAGATACCTGAAGAGATGTTCAGCATCTCTGGCAATAAAAGAAATGCTGACCAAAACAACACTGAGATTCCATCTCAACCCAGTTAGAATGGCCATTATCAAGGAAATAAATAATAACAGATGCTGGCAGGGATGTGACCTAAAGGAACACTTTTACACTGTTGATGGGAATGTAAACTTGTTCAACCACTCTGGAAAGCAATATGGAGGTTCCTCAGCAAACTAAGCACATAGCTTCCCTAGGACCCAGCAGTTCCACTCCTGGACTATTTATACAATTGACCACAAACCAGGCCACACAAAAGCCACCAACGCAACCAAGTTTGTTGCAGAGTTGCTTACAATAGCTAAGATATGGAATCAACCCAGATGTCCCTCGCTGGATAAACGATCAAGAAAATGTGGTATGTATACACAATGGAATTCTATGTTTCCATCAGAAAGAATAATATTGCCCCATTTGTAAGGAAATGGAAAGACTTTGAAAACATTGTATTAAGCAAAGTAAGCCAGGCCCAGAGAAACAGGCTGCATGGTTTCTCTCATACATAGTAATTAGAATATGCCTATAAATCTACATGTAAACACAATGGATAGTAAAAGACAAATAATTACACTTGGACATGATTAATTAAACAGGACTTTAAACATTCATACCAAAGGAGAATATTCTTAGGAGAGGATCACAGAGGCTCAATAGCTATGTGCATATAATCATACAAAATTATGTTCATCGAAATGAACTCCAAGAAATGGAAATGAGTTTTTATTTTACTTCTTGTGTTTTTTTTCATTTTTTTTGTCGTTTGTTTATGCTCTTTTGCCGCTGTTTTTGATTTCTGCACTTTTTATCTGTTTTGGTGAAGGTAAGGGGAAGCACAGAAATGGTGGACAAAGGTGAACTACTTCATTAGGGATACACACTAGACACTATGTTGACAATGAAGTATACAACTTGTGGGGAGGAGGGTGGGGAGAGAAAGAAAAACTGGGAGAAAATAAGGGAAAAGGTGACACTTTTCAAAAAGAAATGTGCTTAGTACCTTACCTATGTAACTGTGACCCCTCTGTACATCACCTTTACAATAAAAACCAAAAAATAATCTGGGTGTCGGTGGCTCACCTGTAATCCTAGCTACTCAGGAGGCTGAGCTCTGAAGATCGCAGTTCAAAGCCAGCCCAGCAGGAAAGTCTGTGAGACTCTTACCTCCAACTAACTACCAGAAAAACGGAAGTGGCACTGTGGCTCAAGTGGTAGAGTACTTGTCTTGAGCTGAAGAGGTCAGGGACAGCGCCTAGGCTCAGAGTTCAATAAAATAAACGAAACAACAAAAACAGAACCCGAGCCCACTGTGCTGAACAACAGCTTGTCCTAAAATAAGCAGACTTGACGCGGTCACATACAATTCACCCAAAATTAGGGCAATCGTTTTAATTTGCTTTCTTCCAAGGAAAGCCACATGATAAATGGCAGCTTTGGATCAGGACAACTGCTGTAGATAGGTTGCTACCCCTCTTTGAGATGAGGGTGTAAACAACCCTGAAGGGATTATTTCAGAGAGATGGTTTCTCAGCCTATAAGGGACTTTACAGGGTCAGGAAGGTTGCAAGAGGCAACCTTTTAGCTTTTGAAAAGATCTGTATGCATTTCAGAGAGAGAGATCAGGAAAGAAGTTAGGAAAGGATGGCGTAGGAAGGCTCTCATTTTAAACAAGGAGAATCCAGCCTTTTCTAGTTCATATTTGCTCCTACAATCATAGGTCAATCATGTCTTTTAAGGCCTTACCTTTTCTGCTGTGTAGGGAGACTGACTGCAGTGCATATCATTTGTTCACAATTGGGCACTCATTTTCAGTCCTGACCTTCCACCTTCAGTCCATCAAAGCTTCTCTTCCCCGGACCATTGTTTGCAATTTGGCTCCCAGTTTCTCATTCCACTGATCCCAAACCCAGTACCCGCACAGCTCCGGACCCCAGCAAAACCAAATGATCAACAGCACAGTCCTGAGAATCATTTCTCTGCTTTGCACGTGGTCTTTTTGAAGTGCCCCTGTCTCCTGTGTGTACCACCACAGAGAGCATGCATAACCACGCTGGGATCCTGTTAGTGTGACGTTTCTGAACGTGGCTCTCCTAGAGAGCAGACACCTTGGTAGGAATAAACTGGAGCCTTCCGGTCTAGAGAAGTCTCCTGTGTGATAGAATTGCTTCTGGGTCAGGTATTTAGGCACAAGGTCATCCACCAGGATAAAGAAGTATCCTGAAAAATATACTGTCTTGAGATGAGGATGAACTAGGAGGTGTTTTTTTTTTTTTAATACCTGTTTTAAGACCTCCACTTGTCCCCATCACAGAAAAGATAGAATTTGTAGCCACGTGGTTGCTATTCTACAAGGTGCAGACCTCAAGACTTAGAGAACATCTGTTATTCATCTGTAGGATGGGCAAGGGATAAGGATGCCAAATGGGACCTGGGTGTTTGCTCCATCCCGGGTCTCCACACGGGTGCCTGCAGAGAGGAGAGTTCAGTCAATTTGGGATGGTGTCCACCCTTGAATCTGCATTGAAATTTTCTTCTGGTTGATAATGTACTCTTGGCATTCTAAACCACCTGCCCCGGCCCCGAGATAAGAACGTCTTGGCTCAGGGAAAGGGGCATGGGATGCCCAGCTTGTGGCGTCCACACATCATTTAGGAACTTACTAGAAATACACTTGAGGGACCCTGCCCCACCCCTTGAACCAGATGGAACCAGGTAGGGTTTCACCAGGCCACCAGCTGGTTCGAATACTGAAGCTTGAGAATCTGTAAACTGTCACAAGAACTGCTCCTGAATGTTCCTTTTTAAAAATCCATTCTGTGGCTTAAGAAAAGAACTGTCAGGTTCAGGCCTGAGATCCTCCTGTCTAGAAGTGTGAATTGGGACACGTAACCTTTCTTTCTGACTTCCCAATGATCTCATTGCAAATCTGAAATTAATTTTTGTTATTTGTCAGTCGTGGGGCTTGAACTCTGGGCCTGGGTGCTGTCCCTCAGCTCTTCCACTCAAGGCAAGCATTTGAGCCACTGCACCACTTACAGTTTTCTGAGTGGTTTATTGGAGATAAGAGTCTCATGGACTTCCCTGCCCGGACTGGCTTTGAACCATGATCCTCAGATCTCAGCCTTCTGAGTAGCTAGGGTTACAGGCTTAAAATGCTAGTTTTAATATAAGAGTTGCTGGGTCAAATAAGACATCAGTTTCCTTCTCTCTCCTCACTGAAGGAATTGGGAAGTATATGCTCTCATGGGAATGACAAATGTGTCTATTCAACCTGGACTCCAGCTAGGAATACGAGATACCTACAAAAAGGGAATGCTCTCTCATTTGCTGAGATCACTTTCTCCAAAGTGTGACAGATGTTACGTGGGCTGTCTGGGCTCTAATTGGATAGCATGCAATCACTTGCAGAAGAGGTTATTCCTTTTGAGATTAAAAACTAAAGTTTCTTAAGAAAATCAACAACCTTATTTTGGTTTAAAATGCCTGAAATACAGACTAAACTTTTAAATGAAATCTTGGATGAGCAACTCCTTTCCACCCCCCCCCCCCCCAATGTAGCATATTTTTTTTTTGTCTTTTGTA